CGCCTCCCGTGGCCGCGGCGCCCGCACTGGCCCGGAGAGAAAAAGGAGGCTTTCCCAAGTGGCGCCACCACTCACCAGAGGAAACGAGGGCCGAGCGGGAGACGAGCAGCCCCGGCTGCGGCGGCAGGTTGGAGCCACGCACGCACACACCTGGTCGGCGAGCAGACGGCACGGCGCGGCGGCACGGAGGAAGGTTCGGCGGGGCTCGCGACCCACCCGGGAAGTAGCCGCGGTCCCCTCAGCGGCGGAAAAAAGGAAGCCCACAGCGCACACCGGCAGCCATCGCTCTAGCGACGCACGCCGCTAGCTGCCTCTTATAGCCGGCGCCGAGACCCGCGTGACCCACCGCGCCTCGCGCCCGCCCCGGAGCCCCGCCCCCGGGGTGACGCAGCGCTCGCCGGCCGGCACCGGCGTGCACAGCCGGGTGAGCCCGATGGTTGCGTTCATTGGTCGGGTCCGCGCCGCCGGCCACGCCCCCAGTCGGGAGCGGCCCACGTGGGGAGGCCAGCCCTCTCGCTGCCCCCTAGTCCCGGCGTCGCTTCACCCGTGGAGCCTGTGGCTGGTTGCCGGCTGAAATCGAGGGGTCCCTCGCCCTGCACCTGGAGGTCGCCATGTAGGGTTAAAGAAGTTGCGACCAAGGTCATTCCTCCCCCACGAACCTAACGGATCCAGTTTTGCAGTACTAGCTGCGCCATCAAGCCGCACAGTCAGCTCACTTGTGACCTGCCACGCCCGGGGGCCACACCTGGCCGACTCCCCTCCAGTCCAGACGGTGCGGGGGAGCTCGCGCTCTGCGGCTCCGGATCCAGTCCTGGCACGTGGTCGCACCTGTGACTTGCCCTTGCCTAGACTGGCACTATCCCGCGCCTGGGGGAGGGCTCACGTGGTCGCTTTGCTCCCGCAGTCATGCACTTGGTGGAAAACAGAGTGAAGGAGTCACGAGAACCGGTTGTCTCTCCAGTTATGGCGCAGAGCCCCAGAATGGCTGTGGGTCATTAATTTCTCGGTGGCAGACTTGCGTCTTCTGAACAGCGGCTTTGGTGCGGGGGGAAAAGACACTGCTTTGGATTCAAATTCGGACTTTCCTGATTGCTGCAGTGTGTCACCTTGAGCAAGTCCCAAATCTCAGCCTGCATTCTCACGAATGTAAAATGTTGCTGTAACTACCTTGTGGACATTGAATGAGTTGGCGTGTGTGAATGTGACTGAACTCAGCAGGCAATCAATAAATGTTCATTTCCAAAAAGGGTACTAAAGGATGTTCGCTTTGCATCTTGGAAGCTTTCCTACCCTTTTTGAGGTAAAGATTGATTTCCAGAAACAACAACAAATGGTATGTAGGGTACTTTTGAAATCAGTAAGATTTGTTCTGCACGTTTGGGGGCATTTTGTTATATGGTTTAAGATCAAGATGAACCAATCATGCCGTGGGAGATTCAGGTGGTCTCTTTAAGGCTTGTTGTAGTTAGGAGCTGTGGAGTGGATTTTCCACTCGTAGCAACCCCATGTGACTGAGTAGAACTGCTCCAATAGAGAACTGCCCCATAGGGTTTTCTAGGCTGTAATCCTTACAGGAGGAGCCCTGGTGGCTCAGTGGTTAAAGAGCTCAGCTGCTAACTGAAAAGTCCGCAGTTTGAACCCACCAGGCACTCCATGGGAGAAAGATACGGCAGTCTGCTTCAGTAAAGAGTTACAGCACTGGAAACCTTTTGGGGCAGTTGTACTCCATCCTGTAGGGTCATTATGAGTCGGAATTGACTCCACTGCAGTGGGTTTGGTTTTTTTGTTTTTAACCTTTACAAGAGCAATTGCCGGGTCTTTCTCTGTCATAACCACTGGGTGGGTTTGAACCCTCAACCTTTCAGTTTGCAGCCAAGTTCTTAACCTTTGTGCCCCCCAGGACTCCTTCTTCAGAGTTATTAAAAAAAAAAAAAAAAAACGTTGCTGCTGAGTCTGCCGACTTACAGCAACCCTATAGGACAGAGTAGAGCTGCCCCATAGGGTTTCCAAGGAGCAGCTGGTGGATTCAAAATGCCTACCTTTTGGTTAGGAGCCGAGCTCTTAACCAATGCACTACCAGGCCTCCCTTAAGGATTGTAGTGAGACTAAAATACATCAGGCTATAGGATAGTACTGACTAGCAGCATTGCACCGAATGGCAAAAACAAACATGTTGAAAGTCATTGCTGTGTCTGTGTCACCCTCAGTACCCTCTGACCTACCTAGAACATTTGGTGGAGTTATACCAGAAACTTGCAAAGTTCTAGATCCCAAGGTCAAGTCTGAAAAAGAAAGTACATGTCCGGGAGCACTGACCCTGGAGTCCAATTCAGATGCAATTCTGGTACATTAAATGTGCTAACTTCTTCCACCTTTACTTCATTTCAAGGTTATCAAGAACATGAATAAAAAGACTGGTGTGCTAAAGGTCCTTGATGTTCTGCCGTTTAAAACAGTAATTTAAAGTAATTATTTGTAAGTAAATTGCCTAGAACTTTTCCCCAACCCATTGCCATCGAGTCAATTTTGACTCACGGAGGCCCCATGTGTCAGTATATGTGTTTTTCAGTCTGTCTATAAACATACTTTTGCCAACCTGTGGTACTAGTTCTTTAAAAAACGGAGGTGGGCGACCGTTTTTTGTGAGGTGGTGGGACAGCCATGGAGGTATCAAGGTGAGAGAGCCCAGTCCAGGCCTCTCGAGGTGGGTCTGCGGGAGTGAGAGAGCACTGGGGTGGAGATGCAAAGGGAATTGCCTTGCCTTGCTCTAGAATGGTGTTGTCCTTCCTCCTTAGGGCAATTTTAGTGCCTCTGCTGACCGTTCTGTAAAGAGAAGAGAGGATGAGTGGAGCACAACCCTTAGAGACCTGGACTTGCCTGGTCTGGGCTCCTTCCTCCTCCCATTGGGGAGGAGAGGTAGGGCTGTGCCTGTGGAGAGAAGTTATAGTGACCTGCAAACGGAAGAAATGAAAAGAGTAGGTATGAGGACCATCAATTCATGCACAAATGGCCCTGGTTCTGACCTTATTGCTGAACACTGGAGAAGGGGGTGGAAATCCTAATGATAATACTGCTCTGTTAAAATCAAGGCATTGCCAAAAGCATTCTCTAGAATTTTAGAAAGCCTGTTTCGTGTAAGGGTTAAGCACACAGACTGTAAAGCCAAACGCCCTGTTCAGCTACTCACTAGTAATGTGGCCTCAGTTTCCTTATCGGTAAGGGGAGAGATTTAGAATCCCTACTTCATAGGCTGTCGTGAGGACTGGGTGAATCAATGCACATAACACCCTTCCAAAAGGGTGTCTAGCATACAGCAAGGGGCCCTGGTCGTGCAGTGGTTAAAGCATTCGGCTGCTAACTGAAATGTCAGTGGTTGGAAACCACCAGCTGCTCCAAGGGAGAAAGATGTGGTAGTCTGCTTCCTTGGAAACGCTATGGGGCAGTTCTGTTCTGTCCTTTAGGGTCACTACTGGACAGCAGTGGACAGTGGACAGCATTTGGCTGGTGCTGAGTGCCCTTACTCTTCAACAACTAGCTGAACGCTTACTATGCATAGCTCATGTTAAAAATGAAGTATGTGTGAGGTAGCACGATCCCCTCCCTCCATCATCTGAGTCCCGGGTAGCAAGCTCTTCCACTTCTTCCACTGCTTATGGAGAGTGAGGGTCCGTGCAAAACGGAGGCAGAGGCTTGCTGCCAGAGGGTGCAGCCAGTGTGTCGGACTCACTGCCTAGGAGTGAGAGGCCAGGCCTGGCTCAGACCCTGACTGCCCACAGGATCTTCAGTGAGTCACTGCCACTGAGGCTAAGCGTCCCTCTGCTCTCACTCAAAGAGGACAGAACAAGACAGCCTGACACACGCTGCTGAACGCCAGGCTGGGGACTGTGGGTTTGGAGTCTTCCTGGAGATGCTTCCATCTCTCCCTAGCTCAGTGGGTGGAATTAAGCTGTTGAGAGCTGAGAAAGCAGACCCACCAGCCACTCCAGACCTGCGGAAATCCAGACAAAAGGAGGAGACAATGCCACTTCGGCACTTCCTGAGCCCAGAGAGACTTGCCATCAAGGAAATGCATCTGAGGTCACCATTCAGTGAGTGTGAAGTAAGCAGCCGGAAAACAGTCTACTTGGAGGAGGGGAACTGCAGTGGGAATGGGAAAACTGTGCAGCCAGACCAGGAATGAAGGGGTTTCCGAGGCCATTAGCATGTGGATGGGATCAAGGATGGGAAGAGGGGAGCCTCTGAGTAAAGGAAAACCAGCTCCTTTCTACCCACCACTCCCCTCCCCATCACTACAGTCACAGCAGAATGAGGTAATAATCACAATATCCAGGATGGCATTGAATGCTTATTATGTGCCAGGCACTGTTTTGGGTGCTGTACGTGCATTATCTCATGTGACACTCTCAATAAACCTCTGATGAGCTAACCTTATTTCACAGATGAGGAAACTGAGGCACAGAGAATGAAGCAACAGTTAAACCAGGGAAGAATCTAACAAACTTCAGGTTTTGAAGTGTTTGCCTTTTTCCTGGTTGCCAGTAAGTGCAGAGGCAGATAGGATGCTCTAGGTGTTAACTCTTACTTGTACTAAACACATTTCTTCCCCCTTTTTTCCCCCTCCTTTCTATTAACTGTGTTGCTTATACAGCCTGTATTTTAAGCCTCCTCAAATCCTGTTGGAATAGGAAAGGGACTTTTAGGAGACCTGTCTCCAGGATTGTCCCCAAGTTTTCACAGAGTAGGAAGAGGCAGGAAACTAGGGCAAATGTTTTCTGCAGAAATAAAGTTGATGCAGCGGCCTGACCATGTCTTAGATTCACTGAAAACTCTACTCTCTTTTGAGACTTCTCAAGAGAGGAAACCTGTCTTGAAAGATTAAACCCACCTGTAGTTAATTCCTACAGGTAAAAAAAAAACACACAAAAAATGCTATTGTCATCAAGTTGATTTCGACTCACGGACACCCCACGTGTTACAGAGTAGAACTTCTCCATAGGGTTTTCATGGCTGTAGTCTTTATGGAAGCAGTTTGCCAGGCTTTTCTTCCATGGAGCCACTGGGTGAGTTTGAACTTCCAACCTTTAGGTTAACAGCTGATCGTAAACCACCTGTGCCACGCAGGCTGAATTCCCACAGGTAGTAGGTTCAAAATAACGTTTCCTGCAAGGACCACACATCACCACCACCACCACCACTTTCCCCTCTGCTTTGGGTGTGGCAGACCTCTCAGTCTTCAGACATTTTATTGCTCCCCATCTAACAGGATTGGACTCCCAGTA